GGTCTTCCTCTCTTGGCCCCTTCCCTCTTATTCCTTTCCCTTGGTCTCCTTTGCCCACACTCTGTCTCCTGCCATGGCCAGGTCCAGTTTGCTGATCACTTTCAATCCACTGCTTCCCCCCTATGCTCTGGACTCTTCCAGATGCCTCTGGCTGTAGTCTCCCTCAGACCTACAATATAAGCCTTTCCCTCAACCCTACCTTGGAGCAGTTGTGTCCTCCATCTTTATACTCACTATTCTGTGTAGTGATGGTTGATAACCGGGTGGGAAGAGAATTCAGTATTTATCCTGCCTTTACTATTCAAATAGTCTCTCAAAGTGGCTGAGTTAGCAGTGAAGCGTAGAGTTTTGAGGTGTTTGTCGTTTGGGGTGTTTTCTTTGAAACATAGGGTGTTACACTATGTAGCTCAGGTTGGCCTTGGATTTCTGCCTCATTCTCCAGAGAGCTAGGACTGCAGTAGTGCCCCAGGTGGCACTCTTTTCTTCTTCGTGTGTTTATGGCATGTGTATAGAGTATGTGTGCATCGATATGTGTATGCACAAGTCCGTGTGTGTGTGTGTGTGTGTGTGTGTGTGTGTGTGTGCAAGTGTGGGCATGCATGTGCCACCGTATGCATGTGAAGGTCAGAGGTCAACCTCAGATGTTGGTCCTTCATCTTGTCTGAGACAGGGTCTCCTGCTTGCTTGATACTTTGGATACCAGGTTAGATGGCTTGAGAGCTTTTGAATACTCTCCTGTCTGGACGCTGCAACTCCCGTAGGCGCTCTGGCATTGCAGATGTGAGCTACTGCACCCAGCTTTTACATGGGTTCTGAGGATTTGAACTCGGGTCCCCACGTTTTATAGAAAGGGCTTTAGCTAGTGAGTCATTGTCTCAACCCTAGGAGGTTCTTAATAGCACTTTTTTTAAGTTAACAAGTGGAAGAAGAATGCTAAAATGAAAATATGCCGTTTCTATCCCGCATGATGAACAAGCAGGCTGGACAGCGAGCATCCGTCACAAAGATGCAGTGCAGGCTAAAAGGGCCTATGTCCTAATAGCTCCCATGGGCTGATTCCCCATTCCTCCACTAACTTACTCTACCAACCCAGGACATGGCTACACTCACCTTTCGGGCCCTTTCATTCTAAGTGCCACCCTGTAAGACCCTGGTTGCTCCTGAGATCCCCTCCCCCAGGGTCTCAGGATTTTCTCAGGTCAGAATGTTTGAGCCACTGACAGCATGTCCAAGCTGGTTTGGTTCTGTTTTCTGTTGAATTTGGAAGGTGAGCTCACACATAGGTCACAGCCTGGTTCTCATGGCTGCTGGGAGTCCTCTTGATTCCTGGAGCAGAGTCTTTGCAGTACTGGGTTGTGGGTCCTGACACTCTGGGAATCCTGCCCACTCCACCAGCTCTCCTCAGGCTCAGAGGTTCCGCCACATTCCTTCTGTGTGGTTGCTGCCTTCAGGCTTTCCTCTTCCAGGCCCTTCTTTGTTACAGCATACAGTCCCTGGTTGCATTTGTCAGACGTCAGAGCATGCTGATGCGGCAGAGGGAAACAGGACGATGGAGAGACAGAAGTACAAAAGCAGTGAGAGAGTGTGGCCAGTCACAAATGTGAAAAAACATCCAGGCTGCCTCTGCCCAGTCTCAGAGAATCACAATGACCCCAGCCATCTAATGAGAGCCTACTTAGAGTAGCCAAGAATTCACTGGCTTGCATTCATCACGCATTCCCTCACTCACCCGCCTCTCCTATCACCCAGAGTGTTCATCACACTCACACCCAGCCAGCTGGGAATTTACAGGCTAGTGTAAGAGTCTTGCTAAATAAAATCGGAGCTGTGAGGCAGGTGCTAACTGTAATGAGGAAAACAGGCCGTTTGCCCACTGGAGGGAGGCAACAACTGAAGAGTGGCCAGGAAACGGTTGCCCAACGAGGGGGAGGTGAGATGGCTGTGGAGCTCCACATCAGTGCAGACAGAGGGAGGACACAGCCCAGGACAGGAAGTGCTCCCAATGTTAACAGCTTGAGTGAAGGCTTGAGGCAACCAAGCGAACCAGGCACCTTATCAATGGCAGTTAGTTGAACACAGCAGAAACGGACAGTGGAGGTTAAAGGGACAAGAAATAGGAATTTCAGGACCCGATGTATCCAGCGCCCACAGGCTAGATAGTGAGGAATCTGAATTCTGTCCCATCAGTCTGTGCTCTTTTCATACACCTTATGCAGGTGTTGTGGGTCTGAGCTGAGGTAAACCACGGCTGTAAAATACATACTGGACTTCAAAGATGGAGTGCCAAAGAAAAAATAATGTTCATACGTACCTGTTATAATGGTTGCTCATTAAAATTATTATATTAAAGATAACGTGTGTTAAAATGTATCTTGGAAGTCACTTCACCTGTTTCTTTTTACTTTTTTAAAACTATTATTTTAGAGATGTAAAGCCTCACTTTGTCACCTAGATAAAAAACTCCTGGACTCAAGGAATCCCTCTGCCTCGAGGGAACAAGGGGCTGGGACTACAGATTCATGTCAACACGTTGAATTGCCTTTTTAAAAATGTAACCACTAGTCCAGAGGCTCTCAGCCTTCCTAATTCTGTGACCTTTAATACAATTCCTCATGTTGTGGTGACCCCCAGCCATAACATTATTTTGTTGCTACTTCATAACTTTATGATTTATATTATGAATCATAAAGTAAGTATCTGATATGTAGGAGAGCTGATGTACAACCTACAGGTGGAGAATCTCCGCACCAGTAGGTCTGAAGAGGCAGCTCAATGGACAAACAGCTCTGCCAGCTCCACCAGAGCGCCCAGGTTCAATTCCCAGCACCAGCATGGTGGCTCATAACCAGCTGTAACTCCGGTCGCATGGGATCCGATGCCCTCTTCTGGCCTTCGAGGGCACCAGGCATGCATGTGGCTGGTCGTTGACATTCTTATAGGCAAAAGGCTCATAAAATAAAATCATAATTTACATTTTTTTATTGTGCCACTAAAAAAAAAAAATGGGAGCTCCAGATGTGGCTTGCCCACGTGCATAGAGTACAGGGAGCAGACAGAGGTGGAGCTAGGGCAAGTCTGGATGAAGGAACAGCAAGATGGAGGACAAGTCAAGGCTACAGCAGGGTGAGAGGTAGGGAGTCTAAGGCTGGCCAGTAGAGAAACAACGCGGATGGAAGAACAGGCCACACGCGTGACAGGTAAGTATGTCAAGCATTTCATGTAGGTTAGTCAGTGGTAGGTCGTCAAGACAGCCGAGCTCGGTGAAGGGTGTTTGCTGCCGAGTCTTAGGACCTGAGTTGGACCAGAGGCCCACGTTACTCTAAGAGAGAGGTGACTCCCCAAGTTGTGCCCTGACCTCCACACATGTGCCATGGCACCCACACAATAAATAAAGTAATAATAAAGTAAGATGTTTTAAGCCAGTCAATGTTATTATTTCATATAAATAAAATGTTGGCTTTGGGCCAGACACAGATAGTCCATGCCTAAGCCCTCATCATCCTCTGACTGGTGGGATCAGAGGGACTGGATGGTGGAGGGGGCTAAATAAAATCGGAGCTGTTTCCTGGATTCCTTGTTACAGCATGGAATCTCAAATGGTGAGAGACAAGAGCAGGAGGGAGGCATGTAAGTAAGAGCAAAAGACCTCAGAGCTGTCCTTGTGTCACGCTCCCTGGACCCTTTCCACAGGGCACAGGCCATGTCCAAAGACCTTGGTGGTCTGAAGAAGGGAAGGCCTGAACACTCCCAAGAGTCACGGGCTACAGGAGGCAAGAATGGCACACGTGTCCACCTCGCAGGAGAGGACCCTGGGGATCACTTAGCCGAGGCAAATGGGTATTCTCGATCAAGTTTGAAGCCAGGAAGGATACCGTTGGCTGGCACCTCCCTGAGGTAAAGCACTACCAGACAGTACAGATGCTCTCATACAGGCTCTCACTTCAGAGCACATCCCCCTGCAGCCATCAAGCCTAGTGTAGCCTCAGTGGACTGTGCACCTCATCTCTCAAGGTCTGTCCACTGGCTATGGCTCAGAACCCAAAACTGTCAGTCAAGAAAAGCTGGGAAGGCCCCTGATGACACCCCAAGCAGGGGTTGCTGAAGCCCAGGCAGGAGCTGTGCTGGTCCTCCCAGGCAAGGTCAGCGTTTGCAAAGAGGGCCATGTCATGCTCTGTCCAGGCTGTCTCTTAAGTTAGCTTTAGTAACAGACACACTGGCCACTCACCTGCCATCTGCAGCTGCTTTTTTGCTCTAAAGGCAGAACTGGGTATTTCAACACAGTGGGTGTGGTCCACAGAGCCAAGGCTGGTAACTTCTGGCCTTTGAGAAAATGCTGGCTGGCCCCTCACGCCCCTGCACAGGAGGTAGATGCATCTCTCTCACCCTGGGGCCTTCCCTGCAGCCATCTGCTCAACACCCACAATACACAGGACAGGCAGCCCCATGACAAAGGTCTGTCCAGCTTGAAACACCACTTGTACCAATGAGGAGAATGTGCTCTAGATCTGTCACTTGGCCCCTGCTCTCCCGCAAAGCTGAGGCCCAGTGATGGTGCTGGCTAAGGTCCTTCACTCTGTGACTGTGGAGATGACAATAGGAGACCCTCGTCCTTGGCAAGGAGGTCCCCCCTCCAAGGTGTTTCTGCCATCCATTTGTCCCATGATCAAGGCTCAGGCAAATGCTGTTCATGGTGCCTGGCCAAGCTGATCATGATTAGTTAGGTTCTGGGGACCTTTGACCTAGCCAGTTCTTAAATTAGTTCTGCTATCAAAAAAGAGCCAAGCCAATCTCAGAAAAACAGCTTTAATTCTATAATCCAGCCTCCGATGGGGGTCACTGAAACATTGCAATACAAGGAAGTGCTAGATGGCTCCATCTCCCTCCTTGGCTCTCTGCAAAGCCCCATGCTCTACCCCGCCTCCCTCTACCAGCCTAGGCTAGCAAAGCAAACTCAGTCTTCACTTCAGGGTCTCCAGAACCTGGGATCCGGAATCTGTAAGCTACTTTTCTCCTCTCCACAGTCTTTCCATTCCTTTCTCCTTTTCCTGCCTCCGGGGCCCCACAGCGCAGTAATACACAGCCTCGTCCTCAGGCTGCAGTTCAGAGATGCTCAGATACCCCAGGTTCCTGGCCATGTCTTTGGATCCAGAGAAGCGAGGGGGCACCTTGGGACCCTGGTGCTTCTCTAAGTGTGAGAAGTAGCTCAGCAGGAACCTGGGAGGGTGGCCTGGCCTCTGCTGGTACCAGTAAATGCTGTAAACGCGGATGTTAAGGTTTCTGCTCAGGGTACAGGTGAGACGGACGGTGGCTCCAAGGGAGGAAGAGGCTGATGGTGGCTGATGCAGCATTGGCTGAGAGCCACAACCTAGGAAGATAGAAGAGTGCCCATCACTGAGACAGAGAGAGGCAAGAGAAGGGGAAAAAAAGCTCTGGGGTCCAAGAGTTCCCTTACCTGTGATGTGGGCCAGCAGCATGAGTAAGACAGAATTCCAGGCCATGGCTCAAGACCTGTAGCACCCTGCCCCCCACAGCCACTGCTCCTGGGGTCCTTGTCAGCTGGGAAGCACTCTCCACCCTCTCTGAGGAGTGGGTCCTTGCACTCCTGGTTCCTGCTCACCACCCTCCCAGGCTTTCTGGGCTCTACAACTTCATTTACTAGAATGATCTAACAGCACCCTTTGTGGCTCCAGGTTTGACCTGTGGAAGCATTCTGGGAGGAAGCACCTGCTAGAAACTCATGGGCCAGAACCCAGGAGCTGACTGGTGGGCTCATCTCCCTGAGGGAGAGTGACCTCAACTCCCCCCTGAGAAGCTGAACCCCACGGAAACAGATTTCTTGTTCATGTTTAAACGCCTGGTGAACTGATACATCTTTGGGGTAGTGAAAACACCTGTTCATGCAGCAGAAAATTGGGGTCCTCAGGAGGAAAGGGATGCTCTAACACCTTCTAGGCTCCAGAAGAGCCTTCAACCTGAATCTTACTTCAAGAGAAAAGCGGCTTTAAAATGAAAAAGTAGCAGGGGACCCGCTTCCTGCTCTCCTCAGCGCACTACACATGCGCTGCTACAGACTAAACCGTACCTCACTCTCACATTGAACCCATGCTCTCCAGTGGGCCTATATGTGCAGATAGGAGCTATTAGGAGTAATCAAGCTTAAATGAGGCCAGGGGCCGGGGCCTGAGCCAGTAAGCTGGCATCCTTATGAAAACGTGACGGGTGTGGCACCTGTACCTACAGGAGTTCACATCCTGGCCAAGGATGGAAACTTTTCTTCCTGCTACCTCACTGACCAACATCACCATTGGCCAAAGGAGGGTGGGGCAGGCTTCTTGCTGACACAGAGAACTTTGAGCAGCCTTGTCCAGTCACCGTTACAAGCATGTCTCTGACCTTTTGTTCCTCCCTCCTCACACATGCTGGGAAGCAGAGGATGTGCTCCGTTCCAAACAGAGAGGGAAACTTTGTTCACTCACCCAATTATTTCTGCATCCAGCAGCTCATCCATGTGTTTGGCTTGTGTTTGTAAAATGTATTTGTATTTCCTGGGTCCCACAAAGAGCCTCAGTCCTAAGGATCAGAACTGGAGATGGTCTCACTTGTAAACATCAACACTGCAACAATCCCTGTGGGTCCCTTTTATCACTGACACAATCAGAGCTTTCTGATCCTGAAGAATTTAAATTAGCCTGGGTATAGTTAGCATGAGGATAACTCCATTTTGAAATAAAGAGCCATCTTGACTGGGAGCTGAATTCAGGCACCAGGAAATATCAGAGAATATACACTTGGCCGAAAACAAAGTTAACACTCCTAGCAACTGCCTCCAGTAAATATCACAGAATAAATACTTTATAGGAAATAGAGACAATCTCCCTGGCAATAATCAATGAGAATTGGTTGAGAATCGGATGGGGAAAAAATCTCCCCAATGTTTCAGATATAGTTCAAAAGAATAGCCATTGTGATCATATGTCTTAGGCAATTGTGCCTCAGAAGAGGCATATGCCTTAGGCAATTGTGCCACAGAGTAGGTCATCTCGCCCCTCTAACTTTTACCTAATCCTGTAATGTCAAGGCATGTGCCCCCCTGCTTGCTGCCATGGAAACTCCCTACTCACAGACTTTCCCTTTAAAAACCCTGTTCACTCAGAGCTCGGGGTCCCACTTCTCTACTGCTGCATCAGTGAGACTTGGGTCCTGAGTTCGATCACTCTCGTAATAAAGCTCTCTTGCTATTGCATCGAGTTGCCTCCTGGTGGTCTCTGAGGGTCCCGGGACCCTGGCATTACAATCCTGATGATTCTAAGAAAGGGAATGTGGTTGAGACAATAAAAGGAGCTGAGAACCACATTCAACCCTGGACACCCCGCTCTCAACTTTGGTCTTTAAGACTTAACCTCTTCTTCTAGGACCCTTCCACCATCCGCCTAGAAAGACTGGCCTCGAGTGGATACCACATGTGAGAGGAAATGTCTGGAGCCTCCTAGACCCTACAGGACATTGCCCTCGTCCCTAGAACATTTAGGTTTGGAAAGAGGTCCCACACTGTTGAGTGCTTTCTCTTGGCCCTGCAAACTAATCTCAGCCTCAGCCACACCCACATCCAGCATCTAAACTCATAGACAGACAGCTTGATGGAACTGATATTTTCTATCCTTCTTCCAAGCTATATACAACCCTTCTTTGGACCAAAACAAGGTTATTGAGTACAGTAACAGACTTCAAGGTCTACAGGCCCTCAAGGCTACCAGAAGCACATTCAACCCTTCTGCCTAGTTTGCAGATACTTTATGGACTGTTTTTAGCATTGTTGTATGACAATGTTCTGTGAGTTGATTTATTCCATTCTTCAGGGGGGTCCTTGAGTCACAAGATGTTTTAAAAGAAGACTTCTTAATACTCAGGAAGTAAACAACTCAGAAGCTTTAGAAAGCCCCTGAAACCAACCAGATTCACTAGACCTCTCCACCTCAATTTTATATAAGCAGTAAGGACCATTGGAAAATGCTCAGACCATCAGAGCTATCTAAAGAGGCCCAGGTCAGTGAAAAGACAGTCTTCAGTCTGTTGATCTTCCTACAAGTTGTACAATGAGCAACAGGTTACTGGCTCTTGTGAACTGTGATGGTTAACATTACATTTAAGGTTGTAATTACTATGTTTACTGTGTATATATATATATGAAACAAAAATGCCTCTAGCATGTAAACCCCTAATTTCTACAGGCTTGTCGGCTCACTTCCCTTTTTCCCAGATGTTGAAGACTACTCTTTTTTAAAAATGATTTCTTTATCTTTTTTATGTGCATTGGTATTTTGCCTGCATGTATATCTATGTGAGAGTGCCAGATCCCCTGGAACTGAAGTTACAGACAGTTGTGAGCTGCCATGTGGGTGCTGGGAATTAAACCCAAGTCCTCTAGAAGACCAGCCAGTGTTCTGAACTGACCAGCCATCTCTCCAGCCCTAAAGGCTACTCTTAAAATTGACTGATCATGAAAAAAAATTGCTGTTCTTGCAAGATAGTAGGCCATAAGACTGGCTGCTACTTCTACTGTAGTAATCAAGCTTGCTTGCTCTGCTCAAAAAGGTAACTAGGACAAACGCAAGACCCTGCTAAAAGAAGGCCCTGCTGCTTCTAGGCAGAATACATGTAGTCTTGCAGGGTTTGCCTTTATCAGCTCTGGGCTGATATGACTAGGTGCTGCATCTTAGGAGCACTCTCAGGTGTAGTCATGGTGCCAGTATCTGAATAAAAACCCTCTTCTTATTAACATTTTTTTTTCATGATTGTGGTGAATCTCTGAGCGGTCCAAAGCTATAACATTTAAAGGTTCCGCTGAGAGCTGGGTGTTCAGCCCACTTCACGTTTTTCTTCTGAGCAGCCTTGGGCACTGGGGCTCCAGGAAACTAGGAACTGAGAAATCAGTTAAGCCCAGCATTTAGAGGGAGCCACCAGTCAGCCCTGCGTGGAGTCTACAGAGGGCTTCTGGCATACTGGGAGCCAAGAGCTCAAGTAGGCCCAGCATTTGGAGGAAGCAACCTACAGGTCCTCAACTCCCAGAATGTGTAAAAGAGGCACCCAAAAGCCTCTGGGGGCTTAGGTGAGGATCCTTCCTGTGTTCAGCGCACATCTGTGGGACTCATGTGAAAGCTGAACACGGCATTCCTTCCGGAGTCTGAGGGACTGTAAGTGGTATAGCTCTGAGGGAGCGGTGTCCCGGCGGGCAGGAGCCAAGGGATAGCCACACCGCACAAAACTCACAGGAAATATTTATCAGGAAAGACGCAAGAGGGTGGCTGCCTCTGCTAGGCCAGGAAGCAGTAAGGAACTGAGCAAGAGGCAGGCTTATCTAGGTTTGTTGGGGGCAGAATTTTCTAGGGTGGGGTTGATGGAATTTCAAAGCTTTAGTTTGGGGTGAGCCTAGGGACTGGTGGGTTTTCGAGCTCAGGGACTGTTGGAAGTTTAACTGAGCTTTTTCCACCGATGGGTAGGGCTTGGCCACCAACACCTGGAGGGACTGGGTCCCGCTGGCCATTATGGCTGTTAGAGTGTTCTGTGGGCAGTGCCTGGGGCTTGGAGGTCCTCAGGGGCAGAGCCTGGCCACTTCAAGCCGCAGGGGGCTTACAGCCTCAGGGAAAGAACTGGTCCTGGAAATAGGGGGGAGGCCACTAAGCTGTAAAGTTTTGTCTGTTTTGTGTTGTATGGATTGATATGTTACTCCTTGTTTTTTAAAATAATTTTAAAACGATGGGTCAAAATCTTCAACTCAGAAAACCCCACTGACCCTGTGTGTATGGTTGCGGGTTTTGTTTTTGCTGTCTCCGTCCCTTGTACCTGTTTCTGTGCTCCCATTAATCTTTCTCAGTTATGGACGCAAGAGCCAGACCAAACAAGTGAGAGAGAGAGAGAGAGAGAGAGAGAGAGAGAGAGAGAGTGTGAGCACAGCTGTGGCACTCCTTGAAAGTACTTCCGCAGCTCCCTCCTGCAGCAGCTCTGGCGCCACCCCACCCCATCCCTGCACATCTGGGCTGGGGTGATACAGGCACCAACAACCCCCACCCCTGGGCAGCCTTACACACTCTCACCTTGCTAATTACCAAATCCACAGCTGGCCAGGGCCTTTCTGGGAGCCTTCTCCATGCTCTGTTTTAACTCAATGGTCAGATTTTCCTGATCTACACCAGTTCTGCTAGTTGTCACATAGAAAACCGAGCCTGGCTGGGCAGTGGTGGCCCACTCTAATCCCAGCACTCAGAAGACAAAGGCAGGCAGATCTCTGTCCATTTGAGGCTAGCCTGGTCTACAGAGTGAGTTCCAGGACAGCAAGGCTACACAGAAACTCTGTCTCAAAACACAGATAGAAGGAAAGAAAGAAAGAAAGAAAGAAAGAAAGAAAGAAAGAAAGAAAGAAAGAAGGAAGGAAGGAAGGAAGGAAGGAAGGAAGGAAGGAAGGAAGGAAGAAAGAGAAAGAAAGAAGGGAAGGAAGGAGGTA